GATGACAGATGTGAGTCAGCCGAGTTCTTGGCTCAATGTCAACATCATGGCCAAGCATGCAGGCCTTGAAGCGTTGAGACAAGCAACGCTGACAGCAGCCAAGCAAAGATGGTGCACAAACATTTTGTGATGAACATCTGCATCACGGATTCCTCTCGAGAAATGGATGGGTTCCTGACGTTTGCCTACATCACATGCAACCGTCCGATACAAACTGCTCGTTTACACGCCACATGGTCTCTCAAGAGTGGCAGTCTCCATGGCAACATTGCGAACATTGCAGGGCTTCTACCCTACATTCGGTGGGTCCGGGCCTGTCTGCCATAAAGCCATGCATCATAGTTTCGCTTGGTCAGCTGGATCATGTGATCGTGTGGGTCATATCAAGGCCAAAAAGGGGACCCATGACCCATGCGGCAATGATCCTTCGAATTGCAAAAGTGGCCCCAACGGATACAGGACTCTAGCCCTGTCTCCTGCGCTCTCAGCTTCTTGAGGTCCCGATTACGCATGGCCTGACGGGCGCAATCCGAAGCACTTGCTCTTGCAAGTGGAGCACCCACATTTTCCGGAACTTTAGGGCTGGGTTGTATCCAATCGTCTGCAGCTGCACGTGCTTCAATCTTCCATGTGCTGTGGTTCACTTGTGGTCGCCCGCATCACTCAGTCTGGTGCATCGCCGGGCATTGATGTGTGCATATTTGTGAATGGTCACACTGGCGAAAGGGGGCTGGAATTTCCAATGCTGATGCGCATATGGGCGAACGTCCCTCCTCAGTATGAGGTGGGCTGGCACATGCCCGCCGACGAGAAGCAGCGAGACGGATCAACAGGTAGGGGGACTCGGGGCAACGCTCTCCTTGGAGACTCGGTGTTGCCTGCTCTCGCCCCCAAACCTGCTCTTCAGGTAAGAGGCGAGTGGGCTCTGACAAACGTAGTCCCAATAGAGACTCAACTTTCTTGCTTGCAGGCACAAATAGCCGCGTGAAATCGTTCCAACCACATAAGGGCGCTATTTTCCCAAAACGGCCCAACATCTTGACTGGCACATTTCTTCTGCACCCCTGGACCTGGACCTTCAGCGCGGGCACCCACAGCCCACACGCCGCGTCACGGTGCACGTTTGGTTTGCTGCTGGGCCAGCTGACCCTTCTCGTGTGTTTGTCGGTCTTGTCCTTTTTTTGGGGCTGTTTTCGTTGTGTTTCTTGTTCCATGACAAGCGGGGTCCATTGGAACAATCTCGGACGTTCTGCCGTTCAGAACCACCCGAAGCCGGGGAGTACCGTGACATGGGGGATACCGGCCAGCTTTCCTAAAGAAAGCTGGAGGCCTGCTGCTGCTGCAAGGCCCTCTTGTTTAAACATAACTTGACCAAACATACACCCCTTGCAAATCTTGTGCCAGTCACTCGGCACACAATCAGAAGGCCGAAAAAAAAATGATGAGCTGAGCCTTGCAGCAAAAATGTGGCTTGAGGCCTCGTCCCAAGATTCTTTCATTTCTGTGGTTTGGTCAGAGCTGTACATCTGCAGGTTCAACAACTCACGGTATGCGAGTCAGCTGCTTAAATTACACCTCCATGTGGGGAACTCAACTGCGTCTGGGTAGGTGCCTGTTCAACTATGCGCCCCGGCCGGTGACACAGCATGCAGCAAATACCTCCAAAGACTGAGGGATACCGATGCTCTTCCGTTGCTTCCTAGACCTCCTCCCCGCTCCATGTCTCGCAGCCCGCCCAACTGCACCTGGTTCAAGAGCTGAAGGCTGGTGATAAAAAGCAAATGATCCTGCACACGTGAGCAGAAGCTGCATAATACGCAGAACTGACAGCTGGGAGTGCGCCGTTGCAACATTCAAGAGATATGAAGAGAACAATACGCATGGTTTGTCACTGTGCCGTCAATAACAAGCAAGCTCCCGTGGACAAGGCTCGGGTTCAACATGCATCAGGGCCTGGAACTCCGCAAGGGGAGGTTGCTGGGGATGGCAGTGTGTGGCATCGCAATGCCGAGAACATGCTGGGCAAAAAAGGTTGATGGTCTAAAGTGGGCTGCTCAAATGTTCCAGAAGGGGAAATCCAAAGATTTGAAAAGCACAGGAATGCAGGTCCTCCACCTCCTCCTGGGTATCTTGCAGAGCCTCATGATGCACCTCCGACAGACCCCCTCCCCGTCCCAAATGCTACTGACTAGAAGCAGGCCAGTTCAGAACTCAAGCAGCGATTTTTCCAGCCAACCCCAAAGTAGCGGGTTTGTTTGGGGGCCCTCTGCACCGGTGCTAGCCATGCTAAACCAACAAGAACCAATGAGGAGGTTGAACAGTACTTGCTCAACCGAATTGAAACCAATACAATCCGAATTAGGGACAATACAATTTCTGCTGCATAAAATCCTTCGGAAATAAGGTGAGGACGGGCGACGGAAGAGGACCGCAAAGGAGCGGAACGGGACTACTCGGGAGGAGGGGGGGGGGGCATCTTTGCTCAGGGGAACGGATTGTGGAGGATGCTTACGAAGGCCCGGCCGATGCCCTCACAGCCAGGGCCTTCAGGTCAGCAACGCTCAGCTTCTGCTTGACGTCCTTGGGTGCGCTGCCACCCAGACTCCCACAAATGTTTGGGCAGACGTATTTGACCTAGCACCGTCTCAGAAACCTCGCGTCTCAGAAACCTCGCGCAAATGCCACTGGCAAATGCAATACAAGTTTGACACAGTGTAACTTACAATTGAACAAATGATACTTTTAGCATGCTGCCGCACACAAAAGAACAACAATCGCATCGACAACACATTATGATGGGCATGCTGCATCGGAATCTGTCCCTGGCTGATGCATACCCTGCTTGCATGCAGCGATATGTTCTGCTTGTTTAAAGATTGGCCCGAAATCATGAGCAAGGCATAATAAATCCAATGGTCGGGGTTCAGCCTCTTCACCCTTTGTCTTCTCTTGTTTGGGCAAGTCAAGGGCCCCCAACAGTGACAAAATCCCCTCAACCACAAGCCAAGGGCAGTTGACATTTGCACGGGAGGCTCTTGCATTGCAGGACAAGTGGCTCTGGGATTGACCTCAGGGGCTTGTCGCACTGACTCGGGAGCGTGCATACCCGCACATCGAAGTGATTCTTGAACTTAAATCGACTTCTCCCGAAAATTGCCAGCGTTGGTTGGCTTAGGCTGGTTTAGGGTTGGTGTTAGGCACGGGTTTAGGGTTTAAGGTTGGATCATGGTTTCGGGTTGGTTTGGGGATTGTTTAGGCTCCCACTTAAATACGCGCCTTCAACAGTTTGAAAACCTCCGACTCGATCTGCATCTTCTCTTTCGATGCCCTTTCCTGGCGCAGGGTTCAACCTCCAACCCTTGCTCAAACAGTTTCCTGCAGCCCCGTCCAGTTGCTTCTAGGCGAATGCATGGAGTCCCTCCTTTGCATTCGGCATCATCTGGTTCAGGTTCGGCATGGCCATCGCGGCCACGGGAAACAGCCTGACGCTTCATGCCAGCCTCAAGGGGTCCCTCAATTTAAGAAATTGGTACCTCCAAAGTGGCAGTTCAATTATATAGAACTCGGCAGTAAACTGTAAACAGCAGCTTTCGAAGAAAAAGCCCCTGCTGCGCGCTCGGGAGCCACGGCCGATAAGATCTCACAAGTCGTGCGCCTTCAGTGCACGAAGCCAAGCAACGAGCCAAGGGGCTCCTGGCTCGCTTGATGCAAAGGCATACTCATCCTACTGCCCAGATTTGATATGACCCCTCACAAAAAGCGGATACGATTTTTTGGGAATATATTTTTTGGTTCTGCGTGCCAGGGGGGTAAGTGTCGAAACCTGGGACTCTCAATGACAGGTGTCCTTTTGGATCCGATCATTAAGCCTAGTGTTGACACATACCGTCATCTCCAAATAGTTTGTTTAATGTTGGCCAGGTCTAAGCGTGCCAAAAGCCTACAAACATGGACCCTCGCCCCAAGGCCCCAAGCATGTGGAGGGGGTTCATGCGAGGCATCGCCCGTCGAGTGTTGAATTGGGAGCATGTGTTCCAGCTGAATGTCGCAGCTCGTTTCTCGTCCCACTGCGTATGGCATTCATCAGACATATTACATATTGAGTGAAAAGTAAGTCCGGCCTCTTCAAAGTAGGATGTCTTAGTCCCCCATGACGATGCTAACGGGGCAGTTGAAGGCTACCGCCGATGACAAAGCATGGCTCAGTGTAAGAGAGAGCTCTGTGAGACAAGTTGCCCCAATAACGATTCAATCACACTGCGGCGAGCTTTGTTTGGTCCTGGCTGCCGATGCAGGGTTTAGCCAAAGACCAGGCCACTTTCAGGCTCATGGGAGGTTTGGGGACACGATTGCCCGTTGTTTGCACCACTCGCATGGATTGTCCATGTCACACGTTCTCAGCACCAGCTAAGGGCAGTGTTGTTTCATGTCTTCTTCAGTAATCTGCTTGTGGTCCAATCAGCCAAAGTCGCAAGGAACCTGGAAAGAACGCCGTGCCATCCTGCAAACAACTTCACGTTGTAACACGCCTAATTACGGGAACTTCACGGGCACGTCTCTGTTCCCCGCCTTTCTGTTTCTCAGTCTTCCGGGTCAGCGCGCCTGCACTGGGCTTCACACCTTCGGCTTCGCGCCGTGGGGCAGCCGACGGCCGCCCTCCGAGTCTGAGCCGAAATCCGCGGAGCATGTGCTTCCGGGTGCACCGCACATGCAGCCGCCAAGGGCGGCCAGCGAGCCGCCGGCAAAGGGAGGGGCCACATGCAAGGAGGTCACTGTGTGCTCGAATAACACATGGCATACATGCATCACGAGGCGAGCCGCTGGAAGCTCGTGTCATGCTCTTGCTGTCTAAGTTTCACATGTGTGAACATGGCCGGCTCCAAACACAACCTCCTCAGCCCACAGCCTCTTGATTTGAACTGTACAGACAAGTCTCCAGCATCATTGGGATATTTCCAGTGTTGAGCCAACCCCTGATTGCAACATGACAGTCTCCGCACCTAGATCCAGGGCCATGGCGGAAGCTGCCATCCTGCCAGCTGCGGTTTGCAGTTGTTTCAGGCCACTTCTGTGGAGCTTGCACTGGTCCATGTCACCATGTCGTTGCTCCTTGCTCGGAGCCTCTGGGAAACCCTTTGTTCAAAGAGAGCCCGTGTATCGTGACAGGCCCCTGGTTGAGGGCAACTGCCACTCACTTGGGCTCGTTTTCTAGCCTTTGACCCCTCTACCGCAATCTCATCCTGTCGGAGGGCCTTGGAGGTGCCTCCGTGTCGGCGATGGCCTGCCATCGATGTGGCGCAAGGCCGCGGGGCCGGAGCGCAAAGCGAATGTTCCCCAGGCCGGTGATCAGGAGATGCAGCCGAAATCGCCAAGGCCGGGATGGCTGCATGCCCGGGGAAAAAGGGGAAGGTAAATTACATCCCGCAAAGATACAAAGAGCCGGAATAATCTGGCCTCTCCTTTTCTCACCTATGGCATGTGCGCTGCATATGTGCCTCTCGTGCCAACTGTTGAAGGAAACAGGCAATGGTCTAACCAGAAAAAAATACGCCGAAAAACCGGAAAACAATTCCCCAGAAAATAGGGGAACCAACAGGCAAGACCATCCCTGGTGGAAGAAACATCAAAAAAGCCATGCCAAACACGCAATTACACACCATGTTCAGGGCTTTTCACGATTCTGCGAAACGGTATGATGTATGAGCGTGTGTCTGTGCGCGGCGCGTGCGTGTGTGCGTGCGAGTGAGTGCGTGCGTGTGTGCGTGTGCGTGCGCGCGTGCGGGCGCGTGCGGGCGTGAGGCGCGCGTGCGGGCGTGAGGCGCGCGTGCGTGTGTGTTTGTGTGGGTGTGTGTGTCTCTGTTTGTGTGCGTCTGTGTGCGTGTGTATGTGCGTGTGTATGTGTGTGGGTAAATGTGTGTGGATATGTGAGTGTGTGTGGGTATGTGTGCGTGGGCATGTATGTGTGGGTATCTGTGTGTGTTTGTGGCTATGTGGGTGGGTGTGTGCGTGTCTGTGGCTTGTTGAATGTGGGTATATGTGTGTGTGTGTGGTGTGAGCGAGCGTGTGGTGTCGGGGTGTGTTGTGTGTGTGTGTGTGGTGTGTGCGCGTGCGTGTGGTGTTGGGGTGTGTGTTGTGTGTGTGTGTGTGGTGTCTGTGGTGTGTGTGGTGTGTGTGGTGTGTGTGGCGTGTGTGGTGTGTGTGGTGTGTGTGGTGTGTATGTGTGTGTGTGTGTGTGTGTGTGGTGTGTGTGTGTGGTGTGTGTGTGTGTGGTGTGTGTGGTGTGTGTGGTGTGTGTGTGTGGTGTGTGCGTGTGCGTGTGCGTGCGCGTGCGCGTGCGTCTGCGTATACGTGTCGTGTGCGTGTGCGTGTGCGTGCGTGTGCGTGTGCGTGTGTGCGCGTTCGCGTGCGTGTGCGTGTGCGTGTGTGCGTGTGTGCGTGTGTGCGTGTGTGCGTGTGTGCGTGTGTGCGTGTGTGCGTGTGTGCGTGTGTGCGTGTGTGTGTGTGTGTGTGCGTGTGAACGTGTGAACGCGCGCGCGCGCG